CAGACGATTATAGATAATCGGTGAGGTGTTCTCAATGAAAATTTTTCAAAGCACAGTGACTGCTCTGTTTAACATATTGTTCTCCTATCCAATAAAACAACCTGTAAGAGAGGGAATTCTTCTACATTTCCTGTTATTCCCTTACAAAAGTGCAGGCCTTATTAAAGGAACTTCATTGAGGTCCTTAATCCTACAAAATTTGAAATTCTTACATATACCAACTCAGTGGAGCACTAAAACAGGAGGACATGCAACAGATAAGTAGTAGATTAAAAAATTGATCGTATTCTTGTGGTATTCTTAGCCCAATTTGAGCAAATAGCGTTGAAACACTTTTAAATTTTTGGTCTTTTTCACAATTAGAATAATTAGTCTGGAAAAACAGAATAATCTGAAGTTGTGCACACAAGTGTTTGGCTTTAATCAAATGGAATAGTAATATCGAAGAAATGTTTCTAGTCCTGTCATGTCAAAAAACCTTATTGGATTTAAGACTGGCAGCATGTGAGACAATAATGGTGAGGGAAGGTAGCCCTGATTAGGGTTACTGTTGCCGACTAAAGGACATGACCATGCTTAACTTTATTTGTTACTTTATCCAATCGTCATCTCACGTTTGGAAAAAATTCGTTAACTACTTAACACATTCTTAAATTCCTAAATAGAAAATTCCCAAAAATTGATAAGATCGCTCTGTAAGTGTCGATATTGTGTCGATATTTAAGAAAGCGAAGTGTTGAACATATGTTACGTCCTAAAGCATTCATTTAAAACATATCCTTGTATGCTGAGAGCCTCCACTATTTCTAGAACGTACTTTTTGCAGATAGTAAATACTCAGTATGAGACAACTGTATGCAAATTGAAAGCAAAGGCAGAGCCATTTTGAAACATCCGTTTATACGAAATCAAATTTCAAAATATACTCTCAAAATGTCTTAAACATTACTTACTTATTAGGCCCCCACGCAAATAACGTATATTATGCGCTAATGTAAAATCCATATTACATTTTTTCACAATTAAGACTTATATTTTCTAAGGATGTTAAGTTATATTTGTTTTTAATCTTGATCATTAAGGAATATGGCGCAAGCATCTCTTAATATGTATCCATAGCAATGGAATGCATACTACATAAGGAATACGATTTCTTACCATATTCGCTATATATTTAAGCTCGAATTTAATGTTCTATGTACAGGTTACTTCTCACGAAAAGGTATAATATGACGCTTTTAAGCACTTGTAATAATATTTGTTACATTCTTTAAAATAAAAGCAAGGCAAGAAAATCAGCAAGGCGAATAATAATATAACATATTCAGACGAAATTAAAGACTTATGTTCGTGAATAAATAGTACGGAAAACGTTTGGGACTCTTCGTTTCCAGGGCCTTCAAAAAAGAACTTGAATTTGACTCAAAAATTGCTCTAACTTTGCATCTATGTTTTCAGTTAAACCTATACTTATCAATACTTTTCAGTGTCTAGTGTTTCGTGGATAGGGCATTGAGGAAACTGTCACCACAGCTAAAGTACAAAAATAAAATGTACAAAGTCATTACTCGCTGTGTCGTCACTATGGTAATCAGATATTTCATCAGCTGAACTGAAATCGTCTTTTACACTTGTCTTTCGACATATTGATTAGCATATTTGTCATCATTATGTTTTGTCAGTCAAAATACCCACTCATTTGTAACTTTAACTCCTTTTACATGTACCTTGCTTACATTGTTCCGTTCTATTTTGCGTCAGCAGAATTTTCAAGAACCACAATAACTGTTTACGCTTATGTACACTCAGTGCAACAACTAGGTTGATCTTGTGTGATAATAAATGTATGCTTTTAAATGTTGATCATCAGAAGTGAAGAAACAGATAAAGGGGCAATACACGATAGTGTATATTTACATTCTACATTGTATATTTAATCACTTGTGAATATTTCTTTGATTATTTACTTGAATATTTTTAAAGCCATGACATGTAATAAAGAGGATAAGTATCAACAAAAAGAAACAAACTAGAAACATTTTTTTAAGCAATAGCTGATACAAGTGAAACATCAGTCGAATTTGTCCATTCTTATCATAAAAACTTGCTAATGCATCACGTTGTGTAACATCATGTATTGATAAGCTTTCAAAGAAAGTTGATTAGACAAACGATATATGATCGAAAATGTTTTTCAATCAGCGTAAAAATAGGAAAACAAACAAACAAACTTTTAAGAGATTTTGATACAGGGTAACATTATTTCACCATAGAGGTACAAACTGTTAAGAGAGGAGAGTTTCTGTGTTCCTTTTTAATGCGGTTTAAATACTAGACCAATAGAATAATTAAATTATCTAAATCCATACTTTGTCCCATGCTTACAATACACCAATCAAGGTCTATAACTAATTGTCCTAATACATGTATGCAGTTTCTTGATGTATAACTAGTATTATAATTATCATACTATTATTGTTGAGCTAGCTTTTCATATTTTGAACGGGTTCAAACCTGTATCAAATATTGCATTACTATAAAGTAGAATTTACAGTAGAATTTACAGAAAGTAAAGGGACTGTGCGTGGAGAAATAAAATATGGAGCGGCATATCGGATGAATACTTGTAAACTGACAATGCCAAGAATGGTTAAAAAAACATTATCAAATATATAAACAAAATACCGAAGTTTTCCTCAGCTTCTAACTGAAATAAAAAAGCAGAGCGTTTTTTGTTGTTGTTTTTTTTTTTTTTTTTTTGTTTTTTTTGTTTTTTTTTTTTTTTTGGGGGGGGGTTCAAAATTGTTCCCTTGGTGTGGATGCTACTTTTCACGAAATTGACTTTCAACGAATTACACAGGGAAATATTGAAGAACTGCATAGTCACATAGTAAGCTAAAATAAAAGTGATATAACGCGTACACATGTATACAGGGTTAATACAATTCAGATATTGTGTCAAATGTTCATTGCATATTACTATTTGGACCTGTATTGAAATATAATAATAAAAAACAACTGTTTTTATTTGAAAATCACACAAAACAATTAAACATTTTTTGCAGTTTGGGACGTTCTTATGGGATAACGTTTTGCTCCATTTTACCATTCAGATGCTTCTTGTTTCCTACGAAATTTAAGCTGTTCTTGACCATAAAGGCGAGCGCGTCGGAAACTTCACTCGCAATTAATAAATAAAACAGTGAGGAAAGAAAGAGACATTTTCTGCTTTCTTTACGGAGGGATTACCCGAAACGGTAAAAATGTAAGAAATTTGAGATAGAATTAAATAAAAGAAATAAAGTAAAACATGCATACACTGAGTACGTTTTTATTTCATTCTGCTGGACATAAAATTATTATAAAACAAGGAGTAGGAAATAAAACCACTTCGTTTGTATGTTTATGGGTTTAAGTGTTTATCTATCCAGTTACAAATAATTTTATTTTTATTATCGATAATTTTCAGAAACACTTCAAAAATTGATTTGTATTACAAAAATATACAAGAAAAGCATTGATGCAAAGCATCAAAGGGCGTCCAAGCAAGAAATGCAGCAAGTGAAGATGAACTAGTACACATATGATGACAAGATATTCTTATAAACTACCAGAAATGTATACCACTTATGAATGAGCGGACGAAAGACATTGTTCATTATGAACTTTGATTGGCATGCTAGAGATAAGATTATTACTTGTTATTTCTTTATGATCGTGGTTATTAATAGCAACGGATATACATGTATGCAATCATTTATAATCCATATGTGTAACGCATGATCAACACGTACCACACATTTGTCCCTTATTATGTACATGTTATCGCTATTAGCGAAGACCCCCTTAAGGTATCTGTTCACACTTTAAGTTAGTAAAAATATGACACTGGTTATATTACCATGTTGATCATGTTGAGCATAATTGTTTATTATACAATAATTGTAATATCTATTAATTTTAATTTAAAAAAAATACAAATTTTATGAATATTGTTTTCTTTTATTCTTTTTTGTGTTTTATGTGCTATTTTAATACTGAGTTTTTACTACTCTTTTTTATTAAAATTGTAAAATAAATTTTAAGAATTCAATTGTCATATTGACCGACGATTATAAGTAAAAGCTTAACTGGAAAAAGTCAGTAAATTATGGTTTATCTTTCAATATATAATATTGTTTATTCTTAAACCATGTACATGTACATTGTATTTTTCTTTATCATTTTTTAAATTATCGATCAATTGAATAATTCATAAAATCTAATTTGAAACTTTGAATAATTCCTCGGCATCTTTACTAAACACGGATAGCAAATTGAATAATTAAATAAAATGTTTCAAAGTTGATAATGTCATTTTAATACCATAAAAATGTACCTTTTTCTCAATTATTGTACATATCATGGATTTATATTACATATAAATCCGTGTACATATTTATTGTTTTATCTCATATAGATAAAATGAAACATGCTATTGTTGTTTTTTTCCAATTATAACGATATCAAACATCTACTCCAAAATCGGGAGAGACCGGACAATAAACGTGTGGTACTATTCGCCGGTCACTAGTAAATCCTGGTCAAAATAGACCGGGAGAGACCGGCATTTACCGATAGGAGTGATAAAAAGATATATCTATAAATAGGTTTTTGGAATATTTAGGTCATCAACTGATCATTCTAGGATACATGTACAACAATAACATACCATGACATGATAACCGACTGTGTACTACAAAATGATAAATAAAAAACCCCGAAGAGCGCGATTTATTGACGGAAAAGGTTATTTCATTTGTAAATGTTTGCATTGCGAAAATTCATTGTAACATATCGCGACATTTCATTCTTATTTAATAATCAAGCACCCTCATACCGATCGGAATTTTCGGCTTTTATTATGACCGACTAAAAGGCTCGAGAAGTTGCTGTCGCCCTTTCACAAAATCTGATCTCATTCCATAAGAGCGCCGCGCTTCGGCGCGGACGCCAATAAAGATATTACAAATCTAAAGATAATCTAAACAAGTTCTAACAAAAAGTTGTATACAGTGCAAAAGTTTCTCCATGTAACTCAAAAGTCAAAACATTTTCTATCTCTTGTACTTGTCCGGCAGTCCCTCTGGGCGATATTTATTCGGATCTCCTCCGTTGCGGCCATGCTCATTAGCTTCTTGGTCAGCGGCTCTGTCTGCGGCACTATCACCCTTGAGCCAGCCATAACCTTCACGTAGATCACTGAAATAAATATCAATTTTGGAATATCAATATTTCATAGAAAAAATAATTTAATTACAATTGTGAATATATATTATGATTATACTTTACAAAGCGCTTACATAATCATGTCCAACTTTTGTTCTTCTGGAACACAGATACACCGCATATATTTTTATATAAATGCTCATAAAGTTAAAACAATAAATAAATAAAAATGAAAAATTAGCTTGATTTATCATATACTTGTATCGAAAAGAATCATATCCTAAGAAGAATAGAGAAACAGCCAAACAATTCCCTACAAAAAACCAATTCGTTTGCAAATTCAGAATTTTGCCGAAACAAATAAACCGGTACCTGATGATCTTTGCTGCATGCCTCCCGCCAGTTCCATGTTGTGCGGCGTCATAATTTCCCCTTGTGTGGAAGTACTTGTCAGAGTCTTTCCAGTTGGCTTCTCTCATGTCTCTACAACAATTTGTGTCATATTTACTTACAACTCGACATTGTGATGTTGAGATATTGATACCCATTGATTGATCTGTTAGTTATCGTCCTCCATATGTTCAAACATTTTTAACAATTAATAATGTTGTTTAAAACAATAATTTGAAATTCATTTCATTATTATAATTCTATAACATCATTGCACTTTTATCAATTACAGTTCCATATAAATGCCCAAGCTTGCTCCATATGTTTTTAATAAAAAGTAGAAATGATGTATACATAAAATACATTAGATAAAATAATTACGTGTAAGCTTTATACATATCTCCTGCTCCATTTTTAAATCCAGTGACATAATCTTTTGATCTTTGCCACAAACTTCCTCCACTGCCACTGCTCCCACTACTGCCACTGTTTCCACCACTACTGCCACTGCTCCCACTACTACTCCCACTACTGCTACTACTTCTGCGACTCCACCAGGTTTCTGACTGATGTACCACCGCCAGGAAAGTCACGAAAAGCAACAAAAATGTTGTGATGCTTGTAAACCCCATTCTGATGGATATAATATCGCAAAGTTGACGACAAGAAAAGCAATAATTTACCTGTGACGGTTTAGCTTTTTATATAGGAAAAGTGACACGTGCCGGGTACTAGGGGAATCCCCGAAAGCGCAACAAACATTTGCGATTGGTTAAAGGTCTAATAATGAATATAATAGATTATTTGTGATACTTTTTACTTTGAAAGCATTTTTGTACATCTTTATAAAAGGGTCACTAGCGGAGAAAACAGGGCAGACATTGGGCACTTCATATAGATAGAAGTTTTTCTTTCGGTGCAAGCTGATACTTTTAGATATCAAAATAAATGACCTCAAAATATATCAGAAAGCAAGGATGCTGTGTATAGTTCAGGGTTTAGAATGGGGACATCCCACCAAAATGTTTCTTGTAAGCTTGATCATATTCACAAAATGCTATGACGAAAATGTAGTTTTTATTGCACGTGCAAATATATTGTATTTTACATTATCATATACTGTATAATACATGTATTTTCTTAAATAATGAATGCAATACGATTGTATTATTAATCGCTGAAAATATCCTTTCCCTACTTTAAAATTTCTGGATCCGCATCTGATTGTCACTTTGTTTCACGATACACTACGTTAAAATGTTTTATCAGGTTTTATCAGATTATATCAATACGCGAACAGAAACAACTGCTTAAGCGGAAGTCCCATGCATGCAAATTTCTGTTGTCTTACTTATTGGCCTAGCAATAAGCACCAAATTTAGCAAAGAAACCCAGTTTGAAAATGTCCTGGTATTTGCACTAGTGTACCTTACTTGTTAAATTGCTTACTCGTGTTTATTTTCTTCTCTTTTAAACATATTGCGAATTTGTAATGTATACTATCCTTAAAATGGTTGTATCCTGGGACAAAAATAACCAACATCTTTTGTCCCAAGTTTATCACATACCGACAAAGAGTTTTCGTGCAGTGAGCTTAATTTTAAAAAAAATATTTATTAAATACTAATCTCTACATGTATTTTATCAATTATAGAAGCAAAAATATACTTTTTTGAAAAACTATTTTATAGTTAATCGCATAATTGCCAAAAGAGCTTGATAGTTTTTAAAAATCGATAAAAGTACTAAAGTCCTAAAGCAAAAAAACATATAATTTGAGCCGCGTCATGACAAAACCAACATAGTGGGTTTGCGACCAGCATGGATCCAGGCCAGCCTGTGCATCCGCAGGATCCATGCTGTTCGCTATCACTTTCGCTACTTGTAATAAAGTTTGAAAGCGAACAGCATAAATCCTAATCAGACTGCGCGGATTCGCAGGCTGGTCTGGATCCATGCTTGTCGCAAACGCACTATGTTGGTTTTGTCGTGACGCGGCTCATTTATTTTTCAGCTAGGACACTTACAACAGAAAGATGTTCAAAAGATCGTATGTCTCTGCTATTCTTCGCCTGAATTGAATTAAGAGCGTTGCAACAGTTTTCAATTGTGGGTCATTTTTGACATGGAAAAACGGAGTGAGCGGATGATCTGAAATTTTGTAATTAATATGGTCTAGACCTACATTAAATGAAATAGTCCCGTCCAGTCCCGTCATGTCAAAAACCTCAGTAGTGTTCCTTATATGAAAATGCTACATATTTGACGAAAACGTACCCAGTTTTTAATTTGTTACCTCTAAATATGTAGATATGTACATGTAATAAAATTTGAAACATTTACATGTACATAGTTCTTAAAAAGATCAAGTTTAATACAGTTTTAGTGATGGTATTAAAGAAAATTATTTAATATATGTATAGTTTTCTACAAAAAGTTTACATGACAAAAAGCAAAAGTTTTAAGTCAGTTTAAATCAGCATAAATAGCGAGTTTTAGAATTATTAAGACAATCAAATTTAGCCAATATAAGCTCTAGCTTCCCCTCAGTACGTGCACGTCGTTAAAATAGGGCATCGGCAAAGGATTTAAAGAACTTTTGGTGGCAAAAATACAAGACCGAAACTTATATCTTGTGGTCCGACTGCCGATGTCCTGACTAAAGCCGAGAGGAATGGCCCTCCAGAGTAGACAGGGGTGAGAAATGTGTTAGTCCCTACTTTAAGGGTACACCCTCGAATCAACGACCTTTGTCAAGGCTACCTCGACTTCAGTTTTTCGGGATGGGGGTGCTTTTCGATTCGAAAGTCACATTTTTATACTCTTTGGAATTTGCACGGAGGATTTGTGACATGTCCGACGTCTGAATTCGGTAGTTACTTTTTGTACATAAACGAGCAGGTGGATCCCTAATAAATATAAACTAACTGCACAGAGTTACTTAGTTACTATGGACCAACAGAGTAGGCAGATCGACAAGGAAGAGTACTAGGGTGCGTGATGTCTAGAAAAACAGGGTTTTTGCTTGAAACCAAAAGTCCTTATTCGGGCTATCACCTTCAATACTGTCACAGGTTACTGCACGCCCTATTCATTGGCCACTGTACAGTCACCGATTTTTCGGACCAAAGTTCATCTCACATGTCTGGGGTCCGTACTCGATACTGAAAGCTACACATTTGCCTAAACAGGCTGCTTGACCCTCATTATAGACAATATACTTACATGGGTCCGGCCATGAAGAAGATCAAAGCAGTATTATATTTAATGGTACACAGAAATCTCGGATATCTGGATTAGACTGACTTGAAATAACTATTCTTTTTAAACATTCTCGCTATCAAACGTTTGTCTAAGAGGAAAAGCAAAATAAGATAGGTAATCTTCAATCTCAGACAATGAAAATAATTTCCGGTGTTACACAAGGCTCAATATTAGGACCTTTATTATTTCTAATATACATAAATGACATAGCTTCCATTGGTAATGATATAAAAATTGATTTATACGCAGACGATTCAACTCTTTATGAGTCCGGAGAAAATCTATCAAAAGTAGAAATAAAACTTCAAGATCATTTAAATAACATTGACAAATGGTGCAAAATAAATAATATGGCCTTAAATCCAGATAAATCAAAATGTATGGTAATAGGAACAAGACAAAAAGTAAATATTATGAGAAAATTAATTCTTAAGATAAATGAAATAGCTCTTGAAAATGTGACTGATCAAAAAGTCTTGGGTATTTGCATACATAACAACTAAAAATGGCACTTGCAAATTGACAATGTTTGTAAAAAACTTAACGGAAAAAATGCCTAATTGAAAAAAATATCGTATATTTTGCACTTTGATGTGAAATTATTGTTTTACAATGCATATATATTGCCCATTATGGACTATTGTTGTATTATATGGGGTAAAGGAAACACAAACTACATAAATAATGTTTGTAAGATACAAAAACGAATTGCTAAAATCATTTTACAACAACCTCAAAGATCTCCGTCAATAAATCTATTCGAAACTCTTAATTGGTTACCGTTCATTGACAGATGTAAATACCACACGAAGGTGCTTGTTTTTATAACTTTAAATAACATGGCACCGACTTATATGACAGAACTGATGACTTTATCCGACAACAAAATATATTACTTAAGATCTAGGTCACGAAAAGATATTGTATTATGGACGAGACCTAAAACAAATTATATTAAAGACACATTTTCTTATTATGGCATGAACATTTGGAACAATATACCTTTAAATATTCGTAATGTTAATAACCTTAAATGTTTTAAAGAAAAATACAAAGCATATCTTGATGTTCATATGAATGAATGAGTGAGTGAATGAATGAATGAATAAATATATGAACGAACGAATGAACGAACGAACAAATGATGCAATATACGTATATGTTTAAACAAATTGCTGAGTGTCTGTCGAAAGTATATGAGTTGTATTATTCTAAAAATTACATATTATACATTCATTTTTCTACCTATGCATGTCCTGTTGTTGTTATTGTTTTCTATTTCAGAAGGCCACATTGGAAATAAGATATATATGATTGTTACAGACATGGGGCGATTACTTGACAATTGTAATTGATTTAATTATGATTATTTGTAAAAATGCTTGATTAAATTAAATTACTGATTACTCCATTTTGACATTGTAATTGATTAAATTACTGATTACTGACAGGAGTAATCAGATTACATTTATGATTACTGATTACATGTACATAAGTTAAGAAATGCAATGGTTCAACACTATCGTTTTATTGAACATTTCAATACAACAAATGTACAAAAAAATAATCCAGCTTAGTTTTACAGTAATTAAGTCAGTCTACATATGTACATGTGTTGCCTCCTATTTACTAAGCTATATTCTTATATTATGTCACAGTTCAGAACTGTTCACTATTTAGGGGAGAAGATGTGTAAGTGGCCGGATAGCTCAGTCAGTAGAGCCGCGGTACGGTATTCTGAGGGTCCTGGGTTCGAGTCCCAGTCAGGCTGCACATCTTCTCCCCCGTTGGGCGCCAAAATGTCACAGGATGAGAAAAATGTGCAGCCTGACCTGGACTCGAACCCGGGACTCTGGGAATACCGTACCGCGACTCTACTGACTGAGCTATCCGGCCGCTTACACATCTTCTCCCCTAAGTAGTGAACAGTTCTGAACCGTGACATTACATTTAATGTTCATTAGTTTTTCAAATGTATTTGGTTTCAGGAGGCACCTTGTAGGAGTAAAGATACTTTTTGCTTCTACATGGACTTAACAATACCAAAATGTAACAGAAAATATAACCATATGATATCTCACTTTTGTCAGTAATTGCAGCTTATACTTGCTCTTTACTGAACCTGTAATGTCTTCTCAATAAGTGATAATATACCTATCCAGGCCATTGTTATAATTTCACAGCTAAATTTAAGTGGTATAATTGTGACAATCATTTATGTATAATGGGTCAATCTGTCATTGATCTTTTCATCACCTAATTAAAACACAGGTGTCATCAAATCTGATCTGGGTGACTGCATTTAATTCACCTACAATACCTAAGACAATTAGTAGGCATTGACACTGGTACATTTTTAACCTTTATATGTATGTTTGTTCTGCATTTTTTTTTAGCTTAACATGTATTGTAATCATACATGTAATCATTGTGATTACTGATTAATTGGTCATGTAATTGATTAAATTATGATTAAATTACAGGAAAAAAATTATGATTACTGATTACTGTGATTACTCAAAAAATTGTAATCGATTAAATTAAATTACCGATTACGATTACCCCATGTCTGGATTGTTATTGTATGTTCTTAATTTGTAACCTTCTTTAAATAAAGATATTATTATCATTATTATTATTATTATTATTATTATTATTATTATTATTATTATTATTATTATTATTAGTTGGATGGTAGAAGTTTATTAAACACAGAAATCTCGGATATCTGGTTCTGAAATTGTTGGTTTGCTTTAGAACATGTATATCTTCTTATCACAAGGAAAGTTTTTAAATGAAAATTTGACATCAATATGGATAAGCATCTGAGAAAAAAAATCATTTGAGAATATTAAAAGATTTTTACAGACGATAAAATATTTTAAAAAATCGCTTGGTACAAACTATAAAAATGTCTTTTCGCACAGGTGCATCTGTATATTTTGTTTTAATAACAAGGAAAAATTAATATAAATACGTTCAACCAGGTGAAAAAGGAAGTGCATACGAGTATGTACTATATATGTACTTTGCATGCTACGAGAGGCGTGGCTTCATCACTAAAATTACTTTTTAGGAAGTCAATTGCAAACTTAAATCGCAAGTACAACATTTTTCCTTCTTAAAAAAAAACCATATTGTTTACTTAAACATCTAGAGGTGCAAATTTAGAAGGAAAAAATGAAAAGATTCGTCATGTGTTCCAGTCTTTTCCTCTATTGTAGAAGTATCAATGCATGTTTGTTATTATACTCTTAAAATACCTAACAACAAGTATTACTGTATCCCCGCGTCGGGTATTTTCGTGGGTATAAGGACAATATCGCTGACGTAACGGATATTTTTCAGAGAATTAATAAAAAGCAATAAAGTTTAAATAAACCAATCATTTACCTACATAATAGAATAATTTTTAACACATGACCTACTTTCAATATAAAAATACGATGTACATACCTTCCGGTAGTCAAGCAGAGCTAGCATTTTGCTACGAGGGGTATTTTCGTGGGTCATATTATGTTGCTGATTAAACAGTATAAACAGAATAAAATCCATATATTTTAACATTAAATCCTTCTTCAAACAATTATCATTGTTTTCAACACGTTTAAAATGTCAGAAAAGTTAATAAACAAAAACGGCGGTAACAGGAACTGTTAACTATTTACACTTGGAGGTCTCACATAGTTATTTTTGACAATTGGGACATAGGAAAGTGTCCCCAAGTCTTAAAACTCTAACTTCTGAGCAGAATGTCAAGTGCACCCATCCATCACATTTATCACATCTCCCCCACTTCACAATGGTGAGATAAGGGTACTTATTCCTGTCTTGTGGGTAGAACTCATGACAAACAATGCACTTGTCAGAATCTGGGATGTCACTAGAATCACTTTCATCAGAATCTGACAGATCCTCACATCTATTAAGACAAGAAGGACCAGGGACAGGTGACTTTGGTAAGTTAATATTTACTTTTGATTTTGCTTTTTTAGCTTTAACAGTTTTTATAGAAGGTTTGGCTTGTCTTTTTTGGCTTTGAACATGTTCTTTTACAGCATTGAATACTTCTGGCTCTGTAATGGCTTTCCCACCAACAACTTTTCCAAGAGTTTTTCTTGCTTTAGCAGTTTTAACATTTTTTAAAATCTGCCCACCTCTATTTTCTAGGAATGTTTCTGCTGACAATGAGTGTTCAGAAGAAATATCTGGTTCACAAGCTGCTGGATGAGCAAAAGCAGTAGAAGATGCAGTTGACTCTGGTGCAATGACATTGGGGTTGAAAGGAAAGACCCCAGATTTCTTAAATGCAACCTGGATATTTGATGGATTTAAGGTAGACAAGTAAACTTTGCAGGCAATTCTGCAAACATCGTACCTTGTTAGCACCCTACCACCAGACTCTCTTAGATGAGTATGACATGCAGAGTTCCATGCCTTTTCCAAAGGACCAAAGCAGCTTATATCAAGGGGCTGTAAAATGTGGCTGCAGTGAGGGGGCAAAACAAACAACACAATATGATTTTCAATGGCCCATTCAATTAAAGGAATGGTAACATGACTTTTGTGTCCATCATAAAGTACGAGAACAAAGTTGTCAGAGTCACGAGCTGGTAAATACTTTAGTAAGTGCTCCTTCATATACTCTTCAAAAGTCTCTGAATTAGACCATCCAGATTCTGTTACTGTACCAGTAGCACCAGGTGAAGCTCCATCAAGTAGAGATTCTAACATCCGTTTCCCTGGAAATATGAAATATGGAGGGATCTGTTGACCTAGAGCATTCACACAGCCAATTAAGGTAACATTCTGGGCTTTTCCCGATGTAACTGCTTGAACTTTGTAGTTCTTACCAGCAACTATCTTTGGTGGCTTGTGCTCAACTGATAAACCCTTTTCATCTATATTGAAGATGCAGTGTGGTTTGTTGGTTAGACTATACTTCAGTAAGATATTTTCAAGTTCCTGAAAGTACTTATTGATTACATTTTCAGTGGCACACTTAGCCCTAGCAGCCTCCAGACTTCTAGGTTTAACAACTTTGAGCTCTGGCCATCTGGACATAAAAGCATAAAACCAGTCATAACCTAGAGGATGGACTTTGTCTCTGACACCAAGATGAAATGCATAATCAGAGGCCAGGTTAATTGTCTCTTGTCTTGAATAACCAAAGCCTACTTCACCCATAATAGTCAAATGTCGGACTAGAATTGCCTCATGCTCTTGCGAGAACACTGACCTTGGACCTGATCGTACAGTGTCAATGTCTACCTTGCCTTTGACACGGTCTCTGAGGGTTGAAGCAGGCACTGAATATTTTCTAGCTGCTCTATCAATTGGCAGACCTTCTTCAATAACAGCCTTATATGCCTCATTCACGTCCTGGACATCATAGGACCTGTAGGGACCACGAACAGCAGGTACCCTCTGAAAAGAAAAGAAAACAGAAAAGATATGTAAATAAATTTACTTACCAAACTAAGTTTTTGTCATATGCTACCATCATTACTTTGGACAAAAAATTTTACTATGTGAGACCACTTTTTTTATCAATGAAAGTCACGTGACCTTTGGTTGGGAGAATAGCCAGAATGCAGCCGAACTGTCAAAAAATTTTAGGGCTCTGATGTATTTTAAAAACAGATTAGAAAATTGTCAAACTTTGGGATTAAGAAAAACAGGTAGAAATCTTCGTATGTACATTCAAGTTTTTTTTTACTTACCTTTCTAACTTCCATTTTAGAAAAAAAATCGTCAGTGTTTACATTATAATGCAGACATCCAAAAAATCACGTGACCGGAACCACGCGTGCGCACAAAACTTATTTATACCGTAAAACGGTGAAACCACGAAAATACCCCACCCACGAAAATACCCGACGTTGGGATATTACAGTGTCCCTATTACTTGTTTTTACGTTTGACTTTATAAATTCTATACTCATATGCAACATCGACAGTATCATTAAAAGAATCACAATATTTCAAATTTTGAATAAAAAGATAATGGATAGTATAAAATAAACAAAAAACTTATAAACGTTTTATCTTTTATTTAATGTAAACAGCTATTATGAAAAAGAAAAATATTAAACACTGTAAACACTGTGTTAACCGGCCTTGGTTCCACAAACAGAAGCAATAATTGTGATAGATATAAAAGCGGTTCGAAACCCCATCCAACACATTATCTATGTTAACATTCAGGGGTAAACACAACATAATATTCGAACAATTTGTTTGTTCACCATAATTTCGTTACAGTTCATTTTAACTTTAAATTTAATTTTTTTATTCATTCTATGCTGAATGTCATTTTAGATCTAAATAAATTACTTTACAATTAAAGTTTAATCAAAACGAAATTCGAAAACTGTTGGTTACGGTTGTTATTGATTTTCATTGCTTCTAATGGTCATTTTGTACTAAACATGCATGTATCGGGACAAATGCATTGAACAATTTGAAGGGTTTGCTACTGATTATTTTGATTTAGTAAATGTATTTATCTATTGAATTAACAAATGCTTCCACATAACAAAGTGCTTTAAAACATAATGTGTTTAGACATGACAATGATAGGTGTGTTATGAGAAAGATATAACCGAACAAGAAAGACCATGAAAAGAGAATTCTTATATTTCTATACAATGCATTGTTAAAACAAAACTTTTTTAAGCTTAGATTGACATCTTAAAACGCTTACAAGAAGATTCGTATTGTTTGATAAAATGTCCGGGTTAGCAATAATCTTTTACTGTCAGGTTAGGTACAACTTGTTTTCATATATATTGTTATAGGAAGCAAGTATTGCAGTTTTGATAAAAATAACCTGTTGCAAAATGTGAGATGCATGCACAAATACGATACAATCTAACAAATAGATTTGCACCCGTTTACTCTGTATTATAATGACATTTGTAAATTTACATGATATGATAATAAATGCGAGAAAAATTAATATGGCTGATTAAAATGCAGTTATGAATTTAAATGTGCATGTATGTTATATAAAGATAAAAGGGTTAAAAAGCGTATTGATCGTTTCTACTTTCTTAGATCAAGTAATACAAGCATACGTTGTTTTGTTGTTGTTGTTGTTGTTGTTGTTGTTGACTTTTTGTCGTTTTCTTCAACTGTGGCGTGCTTTTTCTCCCTATATTGCGTCACCCTGCTGAGTCAGTTAATATTTTTGGGATTGTGCATGATACAATAGTTACCCCGTTCTAAAAGATGGCCTTGGTTCTTTTACATATTAGAATACAGATAGTTTGATTTTTCTTACAACCTGATTCTGACATTGTATTAATTATCAATTTCACAAAGTTTTAACCTCAAACAATAACAATCGAGGTTGTGTTCCTCTCAATCCTCAACCGACCAAATTTTCTAAAATGAATTGTCCAGCTTTTATTTTTTAGAACTGCTCTTTATAATTCTTGGGATATCAAGAAGAAAATTTTATGTGAGTGAGCCTACAGTATAGAGCCTGGTCATACTACACGTATTTGTAGATTGTCCTGACTCTATCACTGGTGGCAAAGGCTAATCATTTACGGTTCAAGCAGGGTAAAGTTGTAACTCTGACAAAGGCATGCAATAAAGCGATATAAGAGCAGGGTTTTCAGTTCATCAAAATATGCGGTATTAAATCAACTTGCGGAATAAAAACAATAATTATATTTTTGAAGAAATTATCTAAATGAACTTGCGACCAAAAAAAAATGTTTTTGAATGCATGATGAAAAACAAAAGAAAGGACCCGGTTGATATCAGTTTTAACATGTGTCATTTGTCCACACATAGTATGCAAGTAGGTTAAACATTTTTTAAACATGTTTGTGAAATGCTTCGTGTACACATACATTACTACATAATATGTGAAGAACGGGCCAACTGTTTATTCACGAGAGAAAGTGTACAAGTGCAACATCTCTCAAGCCTTAATCGTCATGCTTTCAGATTCATTATAATTTTCAGGGAAATTTTACAATGTATTAAAAACATATTGTGTAGTGAAAAAAGAAAATGATTAACGCATTGCAAACGGCAGTAGTAATCCCATAATATGGTTATAAATTAAGCAGTCCTTAATCGCACAATTTGTTGGGCTTACCGTAATATGTATGGTAAATTGATAGTCAATCATCATTTTAGATTAATAATATCTGTCATATTTTGCGGTTCGGATCGGAATATCCGTCCCGAGGTGACCCGACCATTGGGCAGTAACGAGGCTTGCCGAGTTACCGCCCATGGGCGGGTGACCGAGGGACGGATATTACGATCCGAACCGCAAACATATGTCAGATATTTTTTCTTGCATATTCTACCATATTCCATTATATTTTAAATTCTTTATCTTTATTTTCAATGAAAATTTATATCATTACAACCGTAACTACTTTCATTCAACAGCGTATGAATTACAAAATCATTCATAACGGTAAAATGACGTAATCTTTATCGTACCATTGTACAGCACGCGACTCATCTGGAACCCCCCATGCCAGATGAAATTTCCGGCATGGGTAAAACTAACGGAAACGCCAGTCTGATATGCAAGAAATATTCATATATATATGAATTTCTGGGATATATACATGTCGTTTTATTTGATAACCAAACCTATGGTCAGATTCCTTGGAAGGCTAGAGTTGCAACAAATTAAACAAAAGTAAAGACAGTTCCGTTTGGTGAAGTTAGTATTTATTTCTACAAATATATTTATATCAAAGAATTTAAGAAACGAACACCAAAACAAATTGACACAAAAAGTGGCCATGCATTATTATTGATGGTATTGAGATGATCACTTAAAACTATTACAAACAATTTCATTTGTTAGTGGGATTGATAGCATTTGGTTTTATTTTATGTATATCATATTGATAAACTTGTATTTCAAGAAAATATAGAAAAAAGTCAGAACTTTCTACGAAACGATGTATCAGAATACGTTTATTTTTTGTACTTTTTTGGAAGTCCTCTCGGGCGATATCTATTCGGATCTCCTCCGTTGCGGCCATGCTCATTGGCTCTTTGATCAGCTGCTCTGTCTGCGGCACTGTCGCCCTTGAAAAACCCGTAAACCTCACGGGCATCACTGAAAAAAGGATAATTACCTGATAAATGTACCATCCTCGAATTTTGTAATGAAATATGATATGACTTCATTTTATGTCTATATTATATTTTTAATACTTTCATGCAAATTGACCTTAACCCTTATCATGCTGAAAAATTAAAATGGACTTGTCCCACTTCCATTTTTAGAACTGTCCATTATCAATTTTAGGGATATCAATTTGAATATTTAAAGATTGTCAGAAGCACGGACGTGCATGCTGGCCTGGTTCTATACTGGTGGCAAAGGCTTAACGCTTTCGGTTCTAGCACTTTAAAGGCTAAGCTTAAATGATTTTTCTTAATCAAGTCCACTTAAAACGGCCAGATCCTGAAGGCCAAACAATATGTAGATTAAACACCACAGGTGATTCTGTTTTTATTTTTCTTAAATCATTTTAAAAGGCACCTTTCTCAGTGTCATAATGATATTACATAAAATGGTTCAAAAATGGTACAAAGGTACCATACGGACTGGCTGGTGAAAAGAGGATAAGAGTACCTGATGACCTTTGCCGCATGCCTCCCGCCAGTGCCATGTTGTGCGGCATCATAGTTTCCTCTTGCGTGGAAATACTTGTCAGAGTATTTCCAGTCTGATTCCTTCATGTCACTGCAACAAAAAGTGTCATTGTTACATGTATTCAAAGCCTCGTCATATACAATTACAATAATTACAATTTTAACACTACATGTATTTGTATTTATTTATTTAATCGAGAGAGAAATAAGCATTATATTAGCTCATTATTGAGCTAAATTATTGAAAAACGGTCACGTATATATTATTTCTGAATAAACCGAGTATTTCTAGAAAACCTTAATTATAAATAAGCTATGCCGAATAGCATCAGCGAACTTTATGCGCCGCCACGGGAGGTACGGGTTTTAGTCGTTCGTAGAAACGGCTGAACGGATAATAGCCCTACATAAAATCGTCTTGAACCAGTTAGCAACAAGAAAAGCATTGATGCAAAGCATCAAAGGGCGTCCAAGCAAGAAATGCAGAAAGTGTCCCTTATTATGTTATCGCTATTAGCGAAGACCCCCTCTTAAGGTATCTGTTCACACTTAGTAAAAATATGACACTGGTTATATTACCATGTTGATCATGTTGAGCATGTTGTTTATTATACAATAATTGTAATATCTATTTTATTATAAAAAACATACAGATTTTTATGAATATTTGTTTTCCTCTCTTTTTTTTTGTTTTTATGTGCTATTTTTAATACTGAGTTTTTACGTTTACTACTCTTTTTTTTTATTAAAATTGTAAAATAAATTTTAAGAATTAAATTGTCATATTGACCGACGAATTTAAAGTCAAAACTTAACTGGAAAAAGTCAGTAAATTATGGTTAATCTTTCAATATATAATATTGTTTATTTTTAAACCATGTACATGTACATTTGTATTTTTCTTTATCATTTTTTAAAATATCAATCCATTGTAAAATTCATAAAATTTAATTTGTAACTTTGAAAAATTCCTCGGCATCTTTACTAAACACGTATAACAAATTAAATAAAATGTTTCAAAGTTAATAGTGTCATATTAATACCATAAAAATGTACCTTTTTGCTCAATTATTGTACATATTTATTGTTTTTATCTCAGATAGAGTTATAAACTAAGTGAAAAACATTTATTTTGGAAAAAAGCTTATTTATCTGTAAAAAAAATGGTTCTTTTCTGAAACGATATCAAACATCTACTCCAAAACCGGGAGAGACCGGACAATAAACGTGTGATTCTATTCGCCGGTCACTAGTAAATACCGGTCAAAATAGACCGGGAGAGACCGGGAATTAACGATAGGAGTACATCCTTCTATAAATATATTTTCGGAATGTTTAGGTATACAGTAGACATTTAGGCAATCAACTTATCATTCTATGTACTACAAAATGATAAATAAAAAAACAAACTGAAGAGACGGAAAAGGTTATTTCATTTGAAAATGTTTGCATTGCGAAATTCTCCAGTTCGCTATTCATTGTACATATCGCGACATTTCATTTTTAATTAATAATAATTGTAATAATCAAGCACCCTCATACCGATCGGAATGATCGGCTTTTATTATTACCGACTAAAAGGCTCGAGAAGTTGCTGTCGCCCTTTCACAAAATATGATTTCATTCCATAAAGGGGCGCCGCGCTTCGGCGCGGACGCCAATTACTAAGAAGCATAGAAAGAGGAAGCAAAAGTTCTTTGAGAAAGTGATTTGATAAAATGATTTTATATAGTTATTTTTACGGACATTTGTGGATATCATAAGACACATAAAACTTAATCTGGAAAGTACCAGGTTGGATATATTTGTTTCTTTGGTGTTATTACCACCGATTGTTTTCTTTATATCGCCGACTGTCACTGAGTCAAAACGGAAATATGGCATTGAGTGAATTTCCAACTGGGATGCGTGTGGCTGTTTTAGGTCATAGTTTTATTCGTCGGCTGTATGAAGACTTTAAACAAAATTCACATCCCTCAAACTACGATTTAGAAGAGTGTTCCGTGGTCCATTTTGGTATAGGGCCATGGCTTTAGAGTATGTGATGGTGATGCAGTTACGCATTTCAGCTCAAAATTTGGGGATTTTCTGAGACAAATTGAGCCAAACATCGTTGTTCTTCAATTAGGAGGTAACGACGTCGATTCAGTAAAATCTTCTCTGGACATTGCCAATAAAATTGAAGAAATTACAGCTCTTATTATTCAAGAGTATGCAGTAGAGAAAGTTGTAGTGTGCGAAATATTCACCCGTGCTCGACCAACGAAAGTTACGACAGATTTATATGAACACAAACGCTTGCTTTCAGTATCAATCCTACAAACTCTTTTGGATATGCATGATAAAGCAAGATTCTGGAAGCACAGAAGGCTGTTTTACTCACAGACTCCCATATTCCGGAAAGATGGAATCCACATTTACCTCAATGGACAGCAACGCTTTTACAGGTCCTTGAGACATGCCATCATGTCAGCTCGGTAATCAAGGATCGGTCGTAGGGGAGTATTGTTATTTTAAAAATTTTATTGGTATATATTAGTTCATCATAAGAACCTGTCTGTTGATAAGAAGTGTGGGAGAGAATAAAGCCAGTATAAATAATATGATATCATAGAATAGAATATTATAGCTTGTAGAGTCACTATATATATTTATAATATTATTCAATGTTAGCATGAAGATAATAATTACGTAATTATGGTATAGTCTTTAGTCTTTACAGAGACAATTAACTTAATTATTGTTGTCTGAGAGCCATTGGGCTATAGCAGAAATTTTATAATTCTTATAAGCCATAAATAGTCTTTAGCTAAAATTTTAAAACTCCAAAGTGAAATATAAACAGACAATGATCACAATCACTTAATGTCTACCATTATAATGTTCAATTGTTTGGAACACTTTCTGTGCATATCAGATTAAGCACAGATCTTTAACTTTATTCAAATTATTAGGTTTGTTTTCTTTGAGCCATTGTGCTTTAGCACAGCTATAGTTTTCTGTGAGCCATTTAGCTTTAGCACAGGTTTTTATATTTTCTGCGAGTCCTTAGGGCTTTAGCGCAGGCTTAAATAACATGTTTTCCTGTGAGCCATTGAGCTTTTAGCACAGGTTTTTATATTTTCTGCGAGTCCTTAGGGCTTAAGAGCAGGCTTAAATAACATGTTTTTCTGTGAGTCATTGGGCTTTAGCACAGATTTTTATATTTTCTGCGAGTCTTTAGGGCTTTAGCGCAGGCTTAGATAACATGTTTTTCTGTGAGCTATTGAGCTTTAGCACAGGTTTTTATATTATCTGCGGGTCCTTAGGGCTTTAGCGCAGGCTTATAGCAATACATCATTTATGCGATTTCTTTCTATCAAATCATATCAAACCATGCTCGGTCTGGGAGCAAAGATAAACACACACAAATAAAACACGATTTGAAAAGTTTAAGCTGTATGCTATGGTATTGCAATGGTATTGCTGTTATTGTGTTGTTATGCTCTGATAATATATTAATAAATGATAAATATATCATTGAAAAAAATCTTAATATATCTTTAATATTTGAACTTACTGGAAAAAAGACAAAGCTTGTGATTTCAAAACAACAATTCCCACTCATGATATTAGTATATCCGAACGACATTTGATAAAGTAAAAAGGTGCATACAAACAAACTTAAGTCTATATAGAACTTGCAGCTCTAAAGTTGATATCTTAATGGCATTTTCAAGCAAAATTTATTTTAAAAAATCGAATGGAATCATTTTTTAACGCTAAAATATTTTACTTCTATCATTAATAATACAAAAAAATGCATGTATTTTTTTCTGTTAGCGTCTATGAAAATTAATGTCTAGTCTGATTTTAAGAACTAGTATTTTTTTTCCAATATTTTGATTACAATCAGACAAATATAGGACTCGACAAGAAAAAACGTTTTCATGACTATTTTGTTTCTTTTTCATTTTCAAAGAAATTTTATTTTGACTACATCATTTGGATATTTACTGCTGATAGACTTTTTTACTATAGCTACAATAATAGAACCTCAAAAATAGCCTTTGTAATGATACCATTTATTGCTTTAAGGGTATTATTCTGTCATAAAGGGCGATATCTTTTTCTGTCAGTACACGCAAAGACGCAGATTAGATGGTGATTTGATGTAATTTCCAATTTTATCGCCTGAAACATTACACAATGTTAGCAACTTATATAGAAAATATTACCTGTAAGCCCTGTACATGTCCTTTGCTCCATTTTTGAATCCCGAAGCGTAGTCTTTCGTTTTCTGCCATGCGCCTCTACTGTTACTACTTTTACTGCAACAATCGACGACAATCAAGAAAGTGAAGAAAAACAGCAATACAGTTGTTATGCCTGTAAACCTCATTTTAACGGCCGTTCTACCAAGGATAGTGATCGTGTCAAGATCCCGAAATGAACATGGACAATTTTGATGCTGAGCTTTATATGTAAATCATTTGGTGACTAATAACACTTTCAACGGAAATTGCTATATTGCATAAAGCATGTTCAATTGGTGAAGTGTCCGGTGGTTCGTGCTGAAATACACTTGTAAACTGTTTTGTTTTTAACATTTTCGAACAAATATAGAAATGGAAACAACTAATATTTGTTCTTTCGAAGGACTGATTGCAACCAATCATAAAAATTGGAACCACTTCCTTACAGAAGTGTCTGAATCAGATGTCACGAAGTTAGGATTAGGAAGTAGGAAAATAGGAAGTTCATTGGACTAAAGATTGTAATCTGTCGACAAAATGACATGACAAACATAAAGAAAACCAAACCAGCCTTTTTAGCTTATATAGAATTTATTTTCGTGATATTGTGAAGGGAGCTTTGACCAAATAGACTGGCTCTCGGACAAAACCCGAACCCAATTTGTGATAGTTTTTTTGCTCAAGGAAAAAACGGCTTTCCCTTAAGGGGGATGACCCCCCTTTTGTAAAAAAAAAAAAAAACTGGAAAAAATGCAATTAACAAAAAGCGGGGGCCCCACCTTTATTTTCTGAAAAAAGGCTTACATTAATCGAGATAAATCAAAAAAGTGTAATTAAGTATGTTACTTAGGGAAACGGTTTTTTAATTTACGTCAAAACAAATTTTATGAAAATTTGGGTTTTCTCCTTTTTAATTTTAGGTTAAAAAGATTTAAAAAAAACGTTTGTTCATTCGGGAAAATATAACTTTATCATAAAAACTTACCTTTTGATAATATTTCAAAGACAGTCACCCGCTAATCAAAACCTCACCACCGTAAATTAATATGTTTGACTACTTCTTGCGGCGATGGCAGCCTGACACCGATTTTACATTGAGCCCAGAGGCGGATGACTTTCTTTGAGGACAACTGTTCATATTCGTGATTCAATCATATACAAATAAGTTATGCTGAGGGGTTACTCGTGTAAGCTTGTCTAAATCATGAAAGCTGGTTTAAGTCTCAGCAACATACAGTACAATATGCCATCCTCATCGTGTAAAAATCAGGTAACATATTGTCGTTGTCCATTGAAGTTACTAGATACTGTGCAGGTCTCCTAACATAATTTGAAACATTGATGTAGAATATGTATCAAGACAGAAATTAAAACTAAGTACTTATCAGTTTAAGTAATGTTTTCCAATAAAACAATTTTGAACGACTCGGCAACGTGTAATGACATTCTAATTTAATCAAAATTTGAATACAGATTACATTTATTCTGTTTTTGTTACTTTGGCTCCTAATACATGTAAACAAAAATCGGATTTATACGTGGATAACCGGA